TATATATATATATATATATATATATATATATATATATATAATGATTGTTTTATGTTCCAAAATTTAAATTCCATGATTTGCTTTAAGAATAGCCATAAGTGCTTGTCTACTACTTATTAACCAGTGAGTCGGTCATACCGGTTCAACTTATCTTTTCATTCCAATGAGTGAGATGACAAGCTGATCTTACGTGAGATGGCTCCGTAGGGTGCGATCACTCATAGCGAATCTCAAGGTTCATAACTAATAATTATCATATTTTTTATTTAAGACACAACCGACACTTAATTATAAATCTATATTTTCATATTAATTTTGAATGAACAATATTTATCGGTATCGTCGAGTATCATCGATGCATTTTTATGCTGCTTATAAACATTGAAACGGCAAAATTGCCATTTCGTGTAAGTTAGCATAAAATTAATGCCCATTCCTCATGGAACAAGCATTTGATTGGCACTCATGCATGCACACCGCACGCAGTTTCACGGACGCACACTAGTAAACGCAAAGCATGATCAACTTCGCGCCGTATCAGTAAAACGCAAAATAAGAAGGTAAACCACGACTGAGCACCTTCGGGATGTCTTCCACGCTGCGGATGGTCCTACTTTTGAGTTTTTTCTTCACTCTCACAGGAGGTGATGCTGCCAAGAATCATGGAATTGAGCAACTTATCCAGGAATTTAGAAAAGAACCCCCACCGGAGTCTATATGGATGATACACGAGGCTGGACATATCCTTGATGAAACATGGGAACCTCCTCTCCAAGATAATGGTAACGTTGTGCTTCAACTTACATGATTTCTAATGTCTACGTATTCATTAGGCATATAACATTTGTTAATCATGATGATACTGGGTCCGAGTATTTCACTAGAGATTCGCAGAGTTTGTAAAACTAAACAGGATTCACCCCAGTTTATCTAAATGTCCGCATTTTATTCACCATTTTTGGAATGGTTTATGGGGATTCTATAACGAAAGTTGACCTAAATTCTTGACCATTTACCTGGTGCTTAAATTACGCCCGCAAAAGTTGGAAAAGTAGTCGTACAAATGAGGTAATTGCTTAACTTTTCGGTAAAATAAAGAAGAACATTCCAGAGATTAAATATGGGCTGTTAACGGAGGTTTTTCTAAAAGTGGAAACCATGTTTAAATGTTGGCAAAAGTGGTACGATATATTGTGCCATGAAAATAGGATAAAACCTTTCTGGATTTCAATATCTGTTTTGTTAAAGTAATCTCTTCGTATTCTTGGAATCGATTCATTAGGCAATCCTCCATAGTTTTTAATTATCTGATCAATTTTCTCTTAACCGCAAAAGGCCACTTAATACTGACCTGACTTGTCACTCTTTAGAGACCGAAAGTCCTTTTCGTGACTCGTTAAGCTTGAACCTAACCCGGTTTAAAAGCATAATGAAGTCAATTCTCCTCTGATATGATGCAGATTTATCACTTTTCCGTCATCATGTGATTACTTTCGACCAATGTCAATGATAATTTGCAAATTTGTACCCCTAAAGCTTGAATGACTTCATTAAGCAGAGCGATAGATAAATTCGGTGTAAAGAGATGTTCTCATTGGAGATTTAATCATCCTTATATAGGTATTAAAGTCCACTTTAGTTTTTGTAATTGGTCACTTTTGGTGATTACTATTCCTTTTTGCTATTTCAAAGATTCCACGTTATGCCATAGTGACATTAATTTTCAATGTTTAACTAACTTTGGTATGAGTAGTTAGAGTGTTATTAGCCGAAGTGTGGGGTTCAGCCTTATTGAATATGGGTTGTGCTATTCAATTTCCAAACCAAGATCTGAACGAATCTAATGCTTTATTTGATTATGGTTAACTGCCAAATTTAATTTTCCATGTGGAGAAATATTACACCTACACTAAATCACTGAAAATTGTGCTTAATATCCGGATAGAGGAATTTTCGTAAATTCTTTCCTCACTATTTGGGATTGACACATTGAAATTCTGACCACCAACTTCATAGCAATATTGGCAAATGTTTTGGTTTATAACAACTCAGGATCATCGGCGATTATGCCTTTAAGTGGCTGGAACATTTCAACCATAAGAGCGTACAGTTTATCTTTGCAGATATCTAAGTTCTATGAATCTGTAATTTCCATAAGTATGTTGTACTATAATTGTGGCAATATTTACTCCTTGCTAACGTGAGTATTTTTGTTCTTTACATTCGTGTAACTATTCCTCTTTAATTCGGAAATTAAAGGCGGCTTTCGGTATACCTCACAATTATTTCCTACTTTTTATGCAACCAATTAAAGACAGTATTTATGCTAGGAATTCGTAAATAATAGTTCATTCGATTACTCTGTACTATTCACGATTTCTGCTTGTATTAGGAATACTGTTAAGGGAATACCTCATCTCCTTTCTACCAAGATATTACTGATTAAAGCTAAAATAATGTTTGACAAATAATTATCGAACGTTATTTCCATTTCCCACCAGTCTGGTGCAATTATAGAGTAATCCCATTTTATATTTAGGAAGAAAAGACTGAATAAATGTCAAAGAAAGCCAGTTCTTATTACTATCTTTTCTCATCTTACTTGGTTTAAATGTTCCTCTGCTAAAGGAGCGTTAATTTATCAATTCACTTTTGGATACATTTTAATTGGGGGCAATAGGCTTAAGACAACCATGTTACGTAATACTACAACCATTTTTACTCGTCCAAATCATGTCTTATTCTTTTGTTATTGGTCCATTCAAACTAAAGGATTTGTTGGGGGTACTTATTGATTAGAACGAAGCTACCTTTCAATGTACTTAACACTGATTGGGCTGTGAGATTTCGGGGTGATTTTCATAGGAAATGGAGTTTTGGATGGGGAGAAAGAGGGAGTGAGATGGAAACTAAACGACAAGAGATATATGTATTCGAGTGGGAGGATTTGCGTTTCTTCGCACTTCTTAATCCTATCTTATTAGAATTTATCTAAACACGAAGGAAAGCCTAATCCGAAATTGGTCAATTTTAGACCGAGTTTTTATTGAACAAATTGATTACTGGTATAGCCTCGTCTACACTCTATTAAGCACTTGTTAAGGCTTTGCTTTATTTGTACATGTATTTGCTTGTACTAATAAAGAACGTCACAAAATACGACTCCACTGAAGTAGGATTCATTAATCGAGATGGAACCTGCTCCCAGTCACTATCCTCAAGCAATGTACTATTATAGAATTTAAACAAAATGTTTCGATTAACTGAAGTCCTCTAAATAAGCCAATTCATTTCAGTAAGTTAAGGAAATCAGAATAAACCTAAAAAACCCTAACTATCACGGACTATTTTCTCAGTTTATTCTTGACCTGATTACAACCCCTCAGTAAATGCCAAAGGTTCGGCTCAGAGATTAGTGTTGCTCACAGCCGTTGACAATCGCGATTCCATTCACTTCCACCCATCTTGATCCCCAGCACCAATTTAAGATTTATTAAGCTGTGCAAGGAGGCCGTGGGAGAGAGGTAACCTTATAGGCTTAGTATTTGGGCTTGGAGGGTGGGGGGGGGTGAGGGATTGAGGAATCCTAACCACTTAACTACTGATGATTGCGTTAGATAAGAAACCCCCAACCTGCATTGGCCATCTATCACTCCTCTCCTCTTTCAGTCTTATCAGGAAGAGTTTCATTTAATTACCCCACAACCAAAACCGTTTGTGGAGGTGGGGCAGCAGTTCGCCCCCTCTCCCCTCGCACACACACACACACACACACGCGCACTCACCAGAGATACGAACAACTGATAGGAGACGCGCTTATAATTTCAATACGCGGTGCTTCGAAATACATAAATATGCAGAAGCGTGGTTTGCGGTTTCGGCAAAATCACCCTTCGATAACGCACTCAGAGAAGTAAATTAAATTTTGAGTTTACCTCAGAAATATTGATTACGTTCTATTTTTGTTAAATATATCTGGTAAACTGAATCAATGTTTTTCGTATTTTCACTGTGAAATCAAATAAAGTTTCTCCTCCTTTCCGAGAAAGGATGCCTTTCCATTTTCGTGAAATTAGTGATGGAATTGTTTGCAGTCATTCGTGATAATCCACCTTTGAATGGTAATAAAATAGGAAAGGGAAAAGGATATTGATATTTGAGATCAGCTCTTTGTAACAAAGAATTTCCCAGAACTCATATCGGACAAAATATTTACCTCCTCGAAACCAAACTATTGTAGAAGATTGTACTCTTGGAAGTCACTAATTGATCTCGTAATAAAGTTGGAGAGTTAAATGACTATAAAGACAAATGAAGTCGTTTAATTTTTCACAAACAACCACAAAAGGGACAGAAAAAGTCGTCCGATTTTGTGACATGTAGCGGTATTTGGCCTGCCACCATTCGCTTGACTTGACAATACGGAGTAAAAAAGCCCCACCAATTTTAGTTTATAAGCAAACAAGAGTTGAGACAAGAGTGAGGAGAATTCACCGCCCAATCGGATTTTGCCTCAATTTTTCCTCTCGCGATTCACTAAATCGGCGTTTAAGCAGAAAATTAGTAGTGAGTTCTTGAACCAAATTCGAGACTTCTCACGTTAATAAATGGCTCGTCAATGTTTCCAGTATGGGAACATTGGCTGCCTTCGTACAAAGAATGGGACAGGTATAGCACGTTGTGTGGTCTGCGTAGTTGGCGCCACTATGGGATGAAGGGAAAACTTGGAGGGTGGATGGGGACTTACATGGAAATGCTCATTCAGCTACTGCTAAAATTGTCATCTTGATTTTCAGTTGAGTAATTGAGTGTGGTTCTCAGCAGTAGAACTAAATTAAGTGAAGAAAGTGCCGTGCAATAAATGAACACTCTAATAAACCAAATTTCTGATATAAAGACTGTGTACTATATAACCAGAATATGTGAGTAAGGTACCTGTCAACAAATTCAGAGATTGTATGGTCGATTCTGAATCGGTTACGCACCTAGTTGAGCAAAATGAGTGACGTCATTGGTCATATCAAGATAATGGAGTTTGGTGTCAGATTTCGAGTCCCTCACTGGGGAAGCTCCATGATATTACTTCTCCTCTCAAAATACTGGCATTAAAATGCTTTTATAAATCTGATGGTAGTTTTACAAGTTGAAAACTGCTATCTACCGGCGTCAAAGATATCCTCTAACCAATTCCTTATACTGGTGCGAGTTTATTAATGTCGTCTAGCTGTTGAACAGATAAATAGAGGATTGAGGAAGATATTCTAAAAATAATGCAATTTTTCGTTCTACACTTTGAAAAATTACCCTGAATTGATGAACCACGTATCATTCGTTTGATCGGTAGGCTTGCGTGTTCCTTTTAAGTGTTTACGGAAATAATTTAATTGCCTTTCTAATTAAGTTATCTTCAAGGTTTCTTTCGAGATTTTCACCAATAATTAAGTTGTCATGAGCAAAATTTCCGCAACATTCGACTCCTTGTTCATTTCTGAAAGTGGGATTTCTCTGCGTTTAAGTCAGGCCAGCTTTTTCGGGAAAACTATATTCTCCCATTGCGACTTCCAAGATTTTGTCCTTTACAGTAGTGTGTGCAAGAATCCCCCGTTAGTTTAGATTTCTCACCGTCGGTTCAATTTTACTTATGTTCCAATGGTTTTACCTTTTAAGACACCAACAATAATATACATCAAACTTTTGAAATATATTTTGAAATGCGGATTAAAACAAGTACAAATAAGAATCTCAAAAAGATTAGGCATTTTCAAATCGAGCTTTTATCAGTAATATTTACGCATAAATACTCCGTAA